TTCCGCGTATCCATCCGAAAACTCTCGCGGCCAAAACCACGAAACGCATCAACGACTTGGCACTTCCCACAAAGAGGTGATTCCACCCATCTATCTCACCCACCCCCTGCCGGGAATTAACGAATTGTTGTGTTAATCCGTTCCAGAACACTGTTGGCGAACATGAGGTTCCCGACCAGCGCCAACATAGCCAACACACTTTTGAGGGTACAAAAATCACGTTACCGGAGGTATCGATTCTTCTGCAACGCCAGGCAACAGCGAGAGATAAAGAGGAAGTGAGCGATTTCGGAAATTTAACTAAAGTCGAATTTGTTGAGCGATTTGTTATTTAACCCTTTGCGCTCGAATGGTGGCGATTCTCAGGCATCATTCATCGGTTTGATACGATAACTCGAGAGGCGATAACATTTATTTATTTATTTATTTGATTTTTTTTTAAATATTGCTTCATAAGTAAGTTTCTAAGCTCTTTACGTATAATCTTGTAAAGCGTGGAATAATCAAACGATTAGATTTTTTTGTCTCAAATTAGACCATATTTTTGACGTTGATCCGTGTTTGACAATCGTGGAAATAGAAATGTTTCAGTTTTGTAAACATGGAATACGGCAAAATGAAATTAGTTCGAAGATGAGTTTGATTTTTCGTTAAATAACGAAATTATTTTTATTCATTGACAAATTGATGATAGAGAGCAAAAAAATGAAAATAGAGATATAGTAGAAGAGAAGATGAAAAAAGATGAAAAAAACTGAGGATACATCTTGGTTACGTTATTATTAAAATATCACAAAACAATATAATATAGATTTTGATATTCGACAAATTTTCTTTCTTTACACGTAAAGATACGTAAAATATTAGAATATAAAAGTTTTATACGTTAATTTGCGCGTGAAATCGTTTTAAGGTAGCTAAGAAATTCATGGAACAGGTGCGAGAAATCGTGTGGGGTTATTGGTTCGAGCGAAAAAGGTTTCGAGTGCAAAGGGTTAATAATTTAAGGTTCAAAACGATAATAATAATAATGTAATTGCATGTAACCGAGAAAACCGAGCCAAGGTTTTTATAGGCCACTATATAAACGTTATTCGATGAGTTACTTTAATGAGTAATCGCTAAAGTAATTTTTTAAATAATTATTCGATTATTTTCGAATCACCGGTTGCTTTTTCAATCGGCTTTTACATATCGCTCGACTCTGACGTGGAAGAGGGGCAAGCGTTCCCCTTGAGCCTCGAGACAAAGAAGGAGTGGGAGGGGTATTCTCTCCTCGAATACGAAACACGAGCATAATCGGATTGCCCTTCGAACCGGTCTTTTCCGGCCTCGAGCCAATCTGGATACGATCACTCGAGAGGATTCGCCAGGAAGCGAGACATTCGATCCTTCCACTTTCCGTGTCGATTTTCCCATGTCAAACTTGGCGCGCCCATTCCCAGTTACCAGACACGAGTATATCCTAGATGTAATTATTAATAGTGCCCAAAGGCGTCTCTACGAAATTCACTCTCTCCTCGCCCCTCTCTCTCCCTTCCTTCCTTCATCTTGCTCCTTCTGTTCTCGCGCCATCCACGTCAGGGGATAATATCGAAATAATTCGATTTCTCGCTCTATAATTTTCCTGATTCCAGGCAAAGGATAATGGCGAAATTGCGTCGAGCGATCAAACCGGACGAGTGGGAACACCACATGGAGGTGTTGGAGATATTGTCCGCTCCCAAAGTCCCGCCCAAGCCTAGACCCGTGCGTAAGATAAAAATTGTCCAATGGATCGAATTGAGACCGAGCGTCGGGTAACTTAGAAAGAAAAGGGAGGGGGGTAGATAGATAGACGCGTTCCTCGTCGATAGATCGAGCAATAATAGATCGGCGACGAACGGGAAAGGATAACGTAGAAAAAAAAAAAAAAAAGAAAAGAAAGTTCGGAGATCGATAAATAGAATCGTTGAATCGCAGATCAAGAAGAAGAAATGGAGGCCGTTCAACGTACGGAGGTTGGAAGAGTTGGCAACGCCGCCCACGAGAGAAATGCCTGTGAGCAGGGACCCGTTCAAAGTGCCGATAACCGCTCTCACCTATAAGATCAGCAAACGCCTTCTCAAGATCGCGTTCCCGAAAGTACCGGTGGAGATCATGCCGCCTCGTATTCCCGGCAAGGTTTCCCCGGCCGCGCTCAAGGCCGTAGGTACCTACTTCTCCAATTTTTTTCCTTTGCCTCTCCTCTCCCCCCTCCTCACTTCCAACTTGCCACTCAACGCGGACGAAAAATTTTCGACGGATCTCGTCGCGTGTGTTTACTTAAAACTGGAGTTGGAAAATGGCCAAGTTGGAAAATTCCCTTGTTCGAAAGTTTTCCATGGGATTTAACCTTCGCCTTTGGATGGAGGAGATCGGTTTAATTCCCTTCCCTCCTCCTATTCGACGGGAGCGCGAGACGGCCAAAGTGTAATTAGAACGATATTTTAGAAGCGATTAAACGACGTTTTACCGACCGAGCCGTTCGAACGAAAGGCCACCACTTTCC